CTTGAACTCCTGACCGGGTCTGCACGGTCTGCATCAGATTCCCCCTTATTTATTATTTGTTTAAGGGATGCTGCCTGTCTTAGGCGGTCAGTGCGAATTCCTCAGTCTTACCCGTCATCGAAACTCATTGCAGCATGGCAATGGCTCTGTCTTAGTCATATATACTCTTATACATCATCAACTCACAGTGCGTTGATGTGACAGAGGAGAACTGCCCCATTGTTTCCTAGGCTGTCATATTTACTGGAGCCACTGGGTGGGTTTGAACTACCAACCTTTTGACAAGTGCTTAATCACTGTGTCACCATGGCTCTTCACACACATGTGCACCCTCCTCACACACTGACCCTGGCAGGTCCCAGTGTTCTGGTTGCTATGGAAACTCACACCCCTTCCATATCAGCCACTGTGGTTACTACAGGCCACAGCTGCAGGTAGGCAGTGGCTCCCAGCTCACCCCCAACCCCAACATCATGTCCTTCATCCCCTTTTTCCTTTGCCTCTGGGTCCTGTGTCCCTTGGGGGACCCTCTCCTTCCTGGGTCCCTTCCCTTCTGGACCATCTGTCCCTCCTGCACTACTCCAGGTACCCCATCCCCTCAGGCCTTTGTGGTCCCAGGAGCTGGGCCCTCTCTACAAGCTCAGGTCCCTCTGAGCATACAGGGTCAGTTCCCAGTACCACAACCTCGTGACTGGGGTGCCTGCTGTCCTCCTGATACTGCCCTCCATGCCCATTCCCTCACCCCACTTTCCAGTTCCTCCCTTGCTTCCTGCAGATGGGGTTGCCCTGGGTACCCGCTCCCACTGTTCCCCTCGCCATCTGGCTCCTTCTCCTTGACACCCTCAGCAGTTGGTTGGATGGGAGATACTGTCCTATTGTCTTGAATGTGAATGACAGACAAGAAGATAGTAAATGAGGATGGTGCATGAATGTGTACAAACAAATATACATTGACTTTATGAGGGTGTGTGGGTATACAATGTAGGGCAACGATTAGATTCATAACTGCAAGGTTGGCAGTCCAAACCCACCATGTACTCCTTAGGAAAATGATGAAGCTGTTTGTTCCCATAAAGAAACCCTATATGGGGTCGCTATGAGTTAGAATCGATTTGATGGCAGTGGGTTTAGTTTTGGTTTTATATACACACAAGAGGGTCTCAGTAAATTCATGAGAAAAATGGAAATGATAATGGAATTATTTCAGGAAACTTTTAAAGCTCCCTGGTAGATATATATTAATGTATATATACTGGGATATATATAATTTACATATAATAAACATTTGTGTGTGTACATATCAAGAATAAAGGCCTGGCAATCTACTTCTGAAGATGAGGTGAAGGAAGCCCTTCACATAGTGCTGGAAGATGAGCTCCAGATTGGAAGGCACTCAGAGGCCTCCACAATGGTGAGGGTGGTGCAGGACTGGACAGTGTTTCCTTCTGTTGTGCTTGAGGCCACTATAAGCCAAAGCCAACTCCATGGTGACCAACACCATGTCTGTGAGAGGACTTTAAAAAGTTCATGCCAACGAAATGATGGATGATGGAATGAATGTAAAGCTGATGTTCTCCCGTGTAGACTATCACACAATTCACACACACACAAAAAAGTTCATGGAAAACTGGTATCTTTCAATTTCATCTTCCCAAAAATGTTTTGAAGCCCATGCATATGTACGCATGCAAATACATGTATGTAATAGTTAATGGGTTAATGCCTGGCTGCTAACCACAGGATGGGTGAATTGAATCCACTCAGCAGCTCCACAGGAAAAAGACCAGGAGACCTGCTCCCGTTAAGATGACAGCCTAGAAAAGCCCATGAGACAGCTCTCGTCTGTCATTTATAAGTAGAATGGACTCGAGAGAACCTAATAATAACAACGTTTAAAAACACACGCAGGCCTGATGAACCACTGGTCATCAGAATCAACTCTGTCTTCCTCTGAACAATCACTTCAGAACATGCTCCTTGGCGGATCTTATAACAGATTAGCAAGAAAAGCACTTCCTGCTGAGAGAGAGAAAGAAGAAAGAGATTTACACAGATGATTCGTTTCATCAAAGAGAGACTTCCTAAATTTCTCCCTCTCTCTAGAGGGTCCCATGACTGGGGTGGGGCAGGAGACCAAATGTGCGTCTGGGTCCTGAGTGTTCATAGGGTTTCCTTCCAGAAGGTGGCAGAGAAGGGTATTTGTAGGTCTCAGTGTAGCAAGTCATCCTCAGATGCCAGCTCCCAGGGGTCAGGTTGGTTCTGTTCTACCAGAACCAAGTTATACCTGGCAGTACACTACTCTACACCATGTAGGGCAGGGGCCCTAAGGCCAGGACAGACCAGCCTCTTGGTGTCACTAAAGGCCACTTTGTTTACTCAGTGGCACGGTGTCAACAGACATTGTCCCCACTTTTGTGAATCAGACTAAAAGGCGCTCCCTACACCTGCGCTCCAAAAGCCAGGTGGTGGGGACAAGCTTTGGTGTAAAAGACACTAACATTCAAGGCTTTCAGCATCTTTAAATACAACAAGTGCAAACAAAGACAAAAACAACACAAAACCAGACAATGTGGGGCCCACACCAGCCTGAGGTCATGCCCCATCAGCAGCAGACTGAGAGGCTGTGGACACAGAGGTAGTCCCCGGTGGTACCAGTGGCTTGACTCAGCTATAAACTTAAGGGTTAAAGGTTCAACTCCACACAGCAGAACCCAGGAGAAAAGGCCTGGTGAACTGCTTCCTTAAAGATCACATACTAGGAAAATGTTGGGCAGTTCTACTCTGTCCAATGGGCTTACCAAGAGTTGGAATACAGTTAGGGACTAAGGGCCCAGAAGAAAGAACCCCTTCCTGAGAACAGAGGTCAAGAAGCAGGACTGCTGGATGGGGTTGGAGGGCTATGTTGGAGCCCAGCCTGGACTGAGAAGGAAGAAGGATGTGCCCACTTCTGACAAGGCTAACTGGGGACAGTTGAGGCTCCCAGGACTGAGGTCCCACCTCTGACCAGCAGGAGGGACAGATGGGTGGCAGCTGTCCCCCAACAACTCTGCTCACTTTCAGAAGATCATAGTAGAGATGGTCTGGGGGCCACTCTGTGGGAGCAAGAACTCCCTGCCACCTGGGGGTACCTTTGTCTGTACCCAAGCTGGCTCAGGGGTCACAAAAAACAACCCTAAAACTAGCTGCCTTTGAGTCAATTCCAAATCGCATGTGCCAGAGTAGAACTGGGCTCCTCAGGTTTTTCACAGTGCCTGGTTTTTCAGAACTCGATCTCCAGGCCTTTCTTTGGAGGCATCTCTGAGGCACCCACCAACCTTTTGGTTACAGGCTGAGCACATTAATTGTTTGTGATACCCAAACCACACCAAACCTGCTGCCGTTGAGTGGATCCCGACTCACAGAGACCCTGCAGGACAGACAAGAGCTGCCCCCTAGGGTTTCCAAAGTTGCCCTCTTTATGGGAGCAGACTGCCTCATCTTCCTCCAGAGGAGCTGGAATTCTCTTTCAACAGAAAGACCTTTTTCAGGGACAGGAGGAGAGGCTGGTGCCAAGCCTTGAGGAAGAGGGAGTGGGGAGTGGGGCGGGCAGGGTGGACTTACCTGAGTGTGTCCACCTCCTCCCTGGAGAACAGGAAGCTCTGGTCAGCAGGATCAGCCTTAGACTTCAGGAGCTTCAGCTCCATCTCCAGCTGCAGGAAGACACAGGGACAAGGTCAGCTCTGACCTGGCAGGCCTGGGACACGAAGCCACATACCAGGAGGCAGAATCCAAGTTTCCCAGGAGGGGTGGGATGCGACTCAAGGTTGGATTCTGCCTCCTGGTGCATGGAACCATGTTCCCAGCTCCCAGTAGCCCAAACACAAGCCATTCTGGTCCCAGATGGCAGCAGACAAACCCAGCATCTGAGGCATGGAGGGAGATATGAACAGTCGTGGGAAGGAACTGCCGCTGACTGACCACTGCTTTGATTTGCTTTAATAGTCATGATGTTTAAATTTCTTGCTACTCTAAATTCCTTTCTAGAACACATCTGGGGTAGGAGACATTGGTGGCAGCAAGGGGTCCATCTGGGACTGAAGATGAAGAAAGGGGACTGATGACCACAGAACTTTTATGATAGTGAGGTTCCCCCCACTTGCCTCTGTTACAGTTTCAAGTTTTTACAATTACAATGAACTTTGTCAACTCCACAGTTGAATCATGCCATCCTATCAAGTATCTTTTCCCACATTCTCTAACCTAGACCCAGCAAAGCAGCAATGTTTTTTGGTGGGAGTTACAGATTGTAACTGGAAGAGACATTCGAGAATTCACAACAACAGAGTGTGTATGTAGGAATGAGTATCTGTGTATTCATAGCTGTCTGCCTGGGTGTCTGTGTACCTGTGTGGTACGTATTGTGGAAGGGGCATGTGTGTGAGCATGTGTGACTGTGAGTGTGTACATGTGGCTGTGGTGGCATGTGGACGTGTGTGTGTACATGGAGGGTCATTGTGTATATGTATGGGCCTGTAGCCTGTACATGTGTATATGGGGGGTATATGTGTGTACCTACCTACCTGTGTGGACATGTATATGTGTGAACACATGCCAAGTGTGTGGACAAGTGGAGGTGTGTGTGTAGGCATGGATGCACACAGGTATGTAATCTTTCTATGTTTCCCTTCCAAGGAACATTCTGGAAGTTTTCCTGCTTCTTCTTCAGTGTTGGACATGCCTGGGTCTTGAAGGTTTGGTAGAAATGCCCTGTGAAGCAGACCCCTTTTCGTGGTGCCTGCTCTGATCCATTCTTTCTGTGGGTGGATGATGGGTAGTTTTGTCTATTTGACTTCTTCTGCAGTAATTGGTCTGCTTAAAATCTCTCTCTTCTGAAGTAGGAATTGATAGATGATATTTTCCTAGACTATGTTCCATTTGATTGAGATTTTCATTTGAGAAGAGTTGAGATGCATAGTCTCACAATCCTTTTGAAATACATTTAAGTTTTAATTTTTGTTTCTCTTGATTTATTATCCAGGTGCAGCTAACCATTTTAAGTGCATAACTTCAAGGCATCTTGGTTTAGTGCATGCTGATAACTGAAAAGTTAGTGGTTCGAACCCACCAGCCGCTCCTTGGAAGAAAGACCTGGCAATCGGCTGCCTGTAAAGATGTACAGCCTAGGAAGTCCTGTGGGGAAGTTCTACTCTGCCCTATGGGTCACTGTGAGTCAGAATAGACTGGAGGGCCCCTAATACCACCACCACACCTAGAGAGCCACTCCCCAGATTGAGAAACCTCAGCTCCTCCCTAAGAAGTTCACTTGTGCCCCCCCACCCATCAACACCCCCAGGGTAATCAATCTTACTTCTTATTCTGGGTGTCTCTGACTTCCATGATTTTTTTTTTACTAGAATTGTGTATAATTCATACGCTTTACTGGTTTTATTTCTGAGAACAAGCATTGGGGTTTATTTCTTATTTCTACCATTTTTCACTTTCTTATTAACTTCTGCGCATATCTTTACAAATACTTACCTTCCACTTTCCTCCAGTTTATTTTATTTTCCATTTCTGCCCTCTTGAGCTGGGTGTTTAATCCATATTATTCATTCTTTCTTGTTCAATAATATAAATATTTAAACCCATGGATTTTCGTCTGAGCCCTGCTGTAGCTGTTTCGTGGAGGAGTGCTTTCACTACAATTATTTTCTAGATTTTACGCACTTTTAAATTGAATTTCTTCTTTGAGTTGAGATTCTTTCAGACAGGTCTGTTTTGGGTTGCTTGTTTGTTTACATTTTCAAGTGTTAGAGGAGTCTGGAGTTTGTTTTCTTTCTAGCGTTATTCTTAAATTTCCAATTTCTTCACATTGTGATCACAGAACATTGTCTGCTGCACGGGTTCTACTTATTTGAATTTACAATGATTTTCGTTATTGCCCAATATGGGATTCTTTTATGTGAATGTTTTCCAAGAGGGTGTGGTCTAGCTTCAGATTCATACATATATATGAGGACTTTTTTCTTTGAGGTATGCTTTGCCCACATGACATAGCATGCATGTTGTTGTTAGGTACCATCCATAGTGACCCTATACACAACAGAACAAAATATTGCCCGGTTCTGCACCATCTGTTACATTTGAGCCCATTGGCTGCTGCCGCTGTGCCAATTCATCTTGTTGTGGGTTTTCCTCTTTTTCGCTGACCCTCCACTTTACTAAGCATGATGTCTTTCTTCAGGGAGGTGAGATCAATGATCCTACTGCTTCTCCACTGTGCATTCTGAGTATTGGTGGCCTGACATTCAGTACATAAGACCCACCTGTGTGAGGAACAGCACCTTCAGTATGAAGAGCTCCTTTCCATGATTTTGGCCATGCTTTCAGACTTGATCGCAACTCCATTGCCATGCAGATCAGTGCCTCTGCTTTCTAAATGCACAGGTCTACATTGTCTAACTCTTTCACTTTTGCTTTGTAATTCAACCAAAGTCCTTTCCTTTTAATAGGCAAGTGTATACTTTTTCTCTCTTTTAAACTTTTTGTTGTGATTTTAGAGAAGGTTTATAGAACAAATTGGTTTTCCATTCAACAATTCATCCACATTTTGATTCATGACATTGATTACAATCAATCTCCACAGTGGAACAGTACTCTTCCCACTTCCTGTTTCCATCCATCCTTCCTTTCCATCTCTTCCCGCCTTCTGAGCCTTATTCCTGGGAGAATGGTACCCTTTTGATCTCACATGATTGATTGTTCTAAGGATTGCATACCTTTCTGGTGTTACTCTTCACCTGATAGGCCACAAGGCTGAGTTCACTTCCAGACCTAAAAGGGTGTTGAAAGGCCACAGTCTCGGGGCTTCCACCAGTCTCTAACCAACCTGTAAGTCTGTTGTTGTTTGCACAATTTTGTTTTGTTCCACATTGCTTCTCCCACTCTGTCCAGACCCCTTTTGCAATCCCTTTCTGTGCAGTAGACTTCATCTAGTTTTTCTGGTCTCAAGGCTGTAGAGGCTAGAGTCCACAAAGCTTTTGAACTAATTGTTTCTGTCTCTTTGATTTTCTTCACTCTTTTTTCTTCCCCAGGGAGACAGACCAATAGCTGCATCTCAGATGGCTGCTCACAAGTTTTTAAGATTCCAGTTACTACTCACAAAAGTAGTATGTAAGACATTGTCTTTGTGGGCTATGTTATGCCAATTGACCTTGGTGTCCTCAGCAACCATGGTCCTGAACCCCCAGGCCTAGTAACTCATTCCCTCCAGGTGTTTGTGTATGGCTATGACGTTTTCCTAACTTTGTCTGCTGTATACCCTACTGTATTTATAGATATGGCAGCACACAGAAATACATATGGAGAAATACCTTACAGATATTCATGGGTGTAGTTCCATTCATGTTTCCACCCGTTTAGCTTGCAAGTCCGTCTATGCATCACCCACTCATAGATTACTGCCATTACTGTTACTGCAAGTTTGGGGATCACCTTTTGTGATAGTTAAGGTTTTGCATCAACTTGACTTGGCCTTGATTCTCAATGGTTTAGCAGTTAAGACACAGTGATCCCCCATAATGTATATAATGTCATATAATGTAACCACTCTCCCATGATGTGATCTGGTATGATCAGCCCTGATCTGATGTATATATCCTATGGGTCTTAAAATCTCACTTCTATGATGTTAATGAGGCCAAATGGAAGCTACAGGATTGGGATGACGCTTCAGTTAGTGTTTTTTGAGATATAAAAGAGACGAAACAGGAAAGCAGAGCTCAGATAGATCTACTACCACCAACAAAGAAGAGCTGAGAGTGGAGCATGTTTTTAGAATCTGTGACGTTCTTAGAGCCAGAGGACGGTTGATGCCAAGATGCATGGAGATCTCCAAGGAACGCTGTGCCTACAGATGCTGAAAGGAGAAAAGGACCTTTTCCCAGAGTTGACAGAGAGAGAAAGTCTTCTCCTAGAGCCAGCACTCTAAACTGCGAGGGAATAAGTTTATGTTTGTTAAAACCACACCTTGTGGTATTCCTGTTATATAGCAGTGCTAGCAAACTGAGGCTCTTCGTTGCTCTAACTCCCATGCCTTCCCAATGCCTTCCTTTGTGTTGATGATTTTGTGCTGACAGCCCATGCACATTTTGAGATAACAAGTGTTTGCATTTATTCCTCTCTGTTATATTTTGCTTCTTGCTTTATTACTCTCAGAACGATCCCATTATGTGGCCTTTTTGTTTTGTTTGCTTTTCTTGGGTATAATTCTCTTGGTATTTAGAAAGGGTTGTATATTTGGTCTAGTGGCTCCCTTTCTAGCTCTTAGCTATGCTTTCTGTTTCTTTGTTGTTGTTGGGCACTGCTGGGTCAAGTCTGACTCATGGCGATCTTGCGGACAACAGAGTGGAACGTGGTCTACTCCTACATCCTCCTCACGATCATCAGCATGTTCAACTATTGTTGCAACCATGGTGCTGATTCATCTTGCCCAGTGTCTCCCTTGCTCTCACCTCCTTCTAATTCATCCAACGTGTCTTCCGGCAACTGATCCCTCCTGATGACTGTCCAAAGCAAGGGCCTCAGACAATGTTCTGTTGTGACCACAACATTTTTATTACCTGATTTTCTGAAGTATATCACCAGCCCTTTCTTCCTAGTCTATCTTAATCTGGAAGCGCCACTGAATCCTATGCCCAATGGGTAAACT